TGCTCGAAGAATAACAAAATGTTTATGATTTTAGGTTAGAAGGACCACTTAGACCTACTACAAAGAATTCAAGTCGTGCTTTGTCCAAATTTGAACCTCATTCAACGAGTCATCCTGTTGAGTCTGTGGAAAAAGAGCCATCTATCTCAAGTAATTCCTTCTTATTGTTGATGTTTTCTTCTGAGCCTTTTCAACCCAATTCTTTGGTTCCATCTTTATTTGATTCATTTCTTTTTAAAATATAAAATTTAAGCATATTGAATCTTTAAAAGTTTTTCTTCTGTTCTTAAAAACTTTGTAAGTGGTTAAATATGATTTAATTTCAATTAATTACATATTATTGTATAATACAGTCAAACCTCGCTATAGTGAACCTTCAAGGAACCGAAATTTCAGTTCACTGTAACTGGGAGTTCATTATATCCATACTGCAAACAATTTTAATTAATTTTTCCAAACTGCTCCCTTTTATTACACATTATTTAAATTAATGACCAATGAAAAGAAATACAAAAATGATTAAAAAAACAATATGTAGTAACAAAAAGTGTTCACTTTTATTTTTTATTACTCATCGTCTTGCGTGCAAAAAATTTAGGGATGAAAAACTGAGATAAAAGAAGCAAATAAGAAAAAATGCTTCTGGCTACCTAAAACAATTTTTCATTATAATACATAGCTTTGAATGCATAGCAACCATTTCGAAACAAATGCATGATTGAAATTTAAAGACTAGATGAAATAGAGAATTTAAAGAATACTTAAACTATTAAACCAAAGTTTCAATTAGAAAACCATAATTTTAATTTAAAATTGTGATTTTCTTTCTCTTGATTTTTAAAATGACAAAATAAATGTAACAGACTGTGTTTATAAATCTAGTCATTCATCGAAAAATAAGCAAATATTTAATCTATAAATTTTAATAGCAAAATATTCATTCTTAATTCCAAATCAAAATAGATAAGTTAAGCTAAAAAAAAAATTTTTTAAAAATCTATCTATGTACTCATTGGAAATTTTTTTTCTTAGAAAATTTCTTTCTGATAATGACAAAGATGTACACTGTAAACATGCACACTGTTGCCAGTTAATAACCCTACTGCTTTAAATAGAGTTTAAAGGGGAAGAATTAAACTATATCAGAAAAAAATATCTGAATCAATCAGCATTTTTATTCTATTTTTGGCAAATTAGGGCAATTTTTTTTTAATATAACCTCAAGCTTTAGAAATATACATTTTCCACCAATAAAATATAATGAAGATTCTAACTCCAGGCTTTTTCAATCAAAAGGTAGAATTTAAATTAACATTATTTGTATTTTTTTTTGTGAAAAAAATTCATGTTTATTAATTGCTTTCTACAGCTATGCAAGTCTATATTAAGACAGCCCTGAATGTTTTCTTTAATCTGTACTTTCAATTTCAAGCATTAAAAGATTTTTAAAAAATTGAATTTCTAATGTGTTGGAATTTATCGCACACCAAGAATGAAAGTAATTTCGTTAACTAAAATTAATTAATGCAGCACTTCATTTAAAATAAATTTTAAAACTAAGAAAAGAAAATAATAAAAGTATCAATAATTTTAAACACTGTTTTTTAACTTTTCAAATCAATATACATAAAAAAAATCTGTTGATTTAAATCAATGATTTTTAAAAAAAATAATAATTTGATTTAAATAATGATTTGCACATGAGAGTGCAAGAATCTCACTTATCCCAGCTCAGTGGACACGCATGCTAACTCACAAGTATTTCACTAAACATGCAAAAAAAAATTAGCGCTTTCATACTCTATAGACCAGAGGTCGCCAAAGTGGTCTATATAGACCCCCAGGGGTCTATTTAACATAAGCGGGGGTCGATCTTAGCCAGGGGGTCGAATGGGGGTCGATCCGAACCGGAAGGGTCGATTGGTCGAAGGATTATCAGTATTTTTCAGATATGTGACAATTAGAAATAAAAGAAGAAGACTTGGAAATATATACAGGTAATCTTCAAAAATTGGGCGACGATTTTAAACTGCGTTTTGTTGATTTGGAAAACATTGACATCCCTGATTGGATTATTGTGCCATTTTCTGCTCAAATTGAAAACGTGGACATCAACCTGCAAGATGAGCTTGCTGAATTATTATGGGGATTTGAAGCAAAGACGCTTTTTAAAAATTTAACAATAAGCAAATTTTGGACAAATATAAATATAATGCAAAAATATGTAAGACTTTACGAAATAGCTCAGCCATTTATGATAGCATTTCCAAGTTCCTATATGGTTGAAGCCGGTTTCAGTCACGTAAATTCAATCTTAACTAAGAACAGAAATAAATTAAATGTGGAGTTTCGAGGGGATTTAAGATTAAAATTGACCAATTTTGAACCCAATATAACGAACCTTGCAACAAAAAAAAAAAACACCAGGCACACCCATGTCATTGATTAAGAAGCAATAAATCCGTAGTTACTTTACTTATTATTTCTACTTACTTCTAATTACTTATTATTTCATAAATATTAAGGTATTAAATTTCAACATTAATATATTTTTCATAAAACTTTTGATACACTATGTACTATTATTTTAATAAATGTTCAAAATCATAAAATAAATGTACAAACACAGTATCTAATAGAGTTTTATTTTAATTAACAGAAAATTACTTTTAAAGGGGGTCGATGGAGATTTCGAAAAATTATGTAGGGGTCGACGATCAAAAAAGTTTGGCAACCCCTGCTATAGACCAACGATGCGCCGAAGTAGCCTGTGGTTGGATGAATTGCGGAAATGCTGAATAGAACAATGTGTAAAGCACGCTTTTGCATACTATGTGTCGAAATTCAACATGGTAGAGAAAAAAATCTAATTTTCGAAAATGGAAAATTACACACTTCTTAAAAACACTCAATGAAAATATTCAAAAACACTCTTTGAAATATAATTTCAGGGCTTTTAATAAAAGAAAAAAAGCACCTTTAAGCACTTTTTAAAAATGCACCATGTTATTATTATTGGGTTGGTAGAAAGTATTTTTTTAAGAGTGAAATAAAACATAAAAAAAATTGTTAAACTTATTCAAGTGATACTTATTTAAAAAGAACATAACTGAAGACAAAAAACATATTTTTAACAACAAATATCAAATCATCCTAAAAAGAAACTAACAAACATATAAATAATCCATAGCTAGCTAAAGTTATTCCATATTTATTAAGTTAAATCAAATAGTATAAATAACCAGAAAGTAATGCTTTGAATTAAACAAAATAAACGTGCCTTGCCATACACATATAATATCATTTTTTGTGGATATAGTGAACCAAAAGATGAGAGGAAATTGGATATTCTGAACTTTTTTCTGTCCTTAAGTGATTTTTTCCTTCATTTTTCGGTAATTTTGAAATTCCTACATAAAATACATATACCAATTTTTAAGAGATTCTTCTTACTTATTTCCTAACTTCCTAAACTTTAATGTAATGAAAGAAAATGCTGTATTGAGTATTTATTTTTCTTAACCGCTTCCCTCTATTTGGAATAGTGAATTTGTAATGAAACTGGGAAGAAATTCTTCAATAGCAGGTGTATATGGTCATATAAAAAGAATCATTATGCATAATGTTGCTACATAGCCTAATTATTACCATAAATACTCAGAATAATAAGTTTAAAATATATTAAGTAAAACTTGCCTCCATCAAATTTTTTAAATGTTTAATATCGATATTTTCGTCATATGATCGCCAATTGGTAACCTTTCTCGGCATTGTTCCCATCCTTCTCCCAAAAGTGGCGTAATAAAGTCAGGTGACAAAGAGGGAACCAAATGCTAATTCCTGGTAAATGGATACATATGCAGTTAAAAAAAAAACTTTTAATAAATATGTAAATAATTTAAATGGTTACATTTTGAGCAAAATAGTTTCACCTGCTTTTTTATTTTTTTTCTTCATGATTTGGGTTGATCAGTATTTTCTAATCTCATGCCCGACTGTTACTGTACGCAGAGATGAACCCAGAAAAAATCTGGATTTTTCGCTGACCGCGATCCAGGAATTTCCGGAAATCCAAAGTCCAGAAGTTTCAAGAAATTTTTTATCACATTTATATGTAAAAATATTAGAACTATAATTTATGTTTGACATCTCTTCCATTTGAAACTTTTTTTTCTGGTAGAATAATAAATGTGATTAGAAATAAAAATAAACTTATACGTAATTATTAATTTAAATTATGCTGCATGTAATTTATTTAGAATTTCATGTTGTGAAAATATCAATGGTTTAAATTTAAAAAAAGACGATAATTTTTTGAAACGTGTCATTAATGATTTTACTCAAGAAATGTTCAGGATTTTTCAGTTGGGATCACAATCACCCCTGTGTACATTTGTTTAAAAAACTAAAATTTGTATTATGATTTGAAGGGGAAAAAATTTTTAATGTATGTTTGTGAGCTTAAAAAAGAACTAAACTTTAGGCTCATTCTAAAAGACCTAAATATTTTTGGAGAGTATGTAACTACAGCGAAAATTTTTTATGGTCTCAAAATTTTGAATATCGAAAAAAAATTGTTTTTCATGATACACTCTTATGTCTATGTTTTTTTCTTTTTTAATTGAGAGTTGTAATAATTGCAGATTGTTTTCATTCACTGTATTCTCTGTCACCCAATGCTTAGACTATAAGCCATTTGTTCTTTCATTACTTATTTGTTTGTTTGTTTTTTCTGATTATTTAATTATTATTTAAGGTCTGGGATTTTATATTCAGAACACAGATATTTTGGATGAACTTAAAATATTAACAACTGAGCATAGTATGCAATGATAGAAGGGAAATTTATTTTAATGTCAAATAACGATGAAATTTATAACTATTTTTTTTAAATAACAAAATGAATTATATCTACAGCCCCTGGACAAATTATTAGACACACTATTAGATTCTATGTAAAATCTTAATTATCAGGTGATACTCTATACAGTGTGTCTAATAATTTGGCTAGGTATGATATATTGTTAAACTATATCATGCAAAATTATATTCTTTAGTATCAAAATATGAGTTGGTTTTAGTTGTTTAAAATGCTTCTGTTTTTTGTTTAGTTAGTAGTCTCAGATGC